CACTTCCATACAATACTACAGGAAAAACCATAGCTTTGACTATTCAGACTTTTGTTGGCAAGGTGATGTCTCTGCTTTTTAAGATGCTGTCAAGGTTTGCCATCGCTTTCCTCCCAAGAAGCAGGCGTCTTTTAATTTCATAGCTGCTGTCTCCATCTGCAGTGATCATGGAGCCCAAGAAAGTAAAATCTGTCACTGCCTCCATATCTTCCCCTTCAATTTCCAAGAAGGTGATGGGACCAGTGGCCATGATCTTAGTTTTTTTGATGTTGAGTTTCAGGCCGTTTTTTGCACTCTCCTCTTTCACCCTCATTACAAGGTTCTTTAATTCCTCCTCACTTTCTGCCATCAGAGTGGTATCATCTGCATATCGGAGGTTGTTGATACTTCTTCCGGCAATCTTAATTCCGGTTTGGGATTCCTCCAGTCCAGCCTTCCACATGATGTATTCTGCATATAAGTTAAATAAGCCGGGGGACAATATACAGCCTTGTCGTACTCCTTTCCCAATTTTGAACCAATCAGTTGTTCCATATCCAGTTCTATGTTCCATATCCAGTTCTATGGGATTGCTTACCTATGTGTAGTTTTCAGTGGGGTGAATTTTTAGAATCAATTCAATAGAACGGTTTTAATATTCAAATAATAACAAATGCAAGGTTGCCAATTTAACAACTTTCTGTTTCTTTCCCTTAGAAACAGATGGAATTTTGAAGCTGTCTTCAAAAATGCAAATGAAAGTTAGTCATGATAGTAGTAAATACTTTAAGAAATGGTGGGGGAAATCACCGGTTAATAAACTTCACTTTAAAAAAAAGTAGCACCATTTTTGCATTGTAATGTATTCAATGAGCATCCCTTTTCTCACACCTAGAATGTTGCTGTGGGCAATATCAACACTAGCTAAACTGCCTGTATTAAAATGACTGTAGATGTAATATTATGAAGAAATAAAAGGCTGTTTTGTGAACTTAGGCAACACTCAATAAATAGTCACACTGTTTTTGAAAAGGAATGTAGGAAGCTGACTTAAAGTGAGTCAGACCACTGGTCCATGTAATCCACCCAGTATTGTCAACATTGACTAGTGACATTTCTCCAGAGTTTCAAACAGGATTCTTTTGTAGCAACACCTGAAGACAACCTGAGTGATCAACTTTCAAAGCATGTGCTCTACCACTGAACTATGCTCTCTCCTCCTTTGCCAGAACCTATCTGCCTCTTTTCTACATCTTTTATTTTTCTGCAGTGTATACACAGTTGCATTGCTGGTTTTATTTTATTTCCCATTATGATTCTTCTACAATATTCCTCATATATAGTATTCCCCATATACTATTGCATCTTAATGTTTAAGTATATAGTGCTAGACTTTCATCATATACCGTGTTTCCCTGAAAATAAGACAGGGTCTTATATTAATTTTTGCTTCACAAAAAACAAACAAACAAACAAAAAGGCGTTAGGGCTTATTTTCAGGGCATGTTTTATTTTTTTCATGTACAACAATCTACATTTATTCAAATACAGTCATGTCATCTTCTGGTTGCTGCAAAATGGTGGAGGGCAGGGTTTCGCTTAACTGGGGCTTATTTTCGGGGCAGCAGAGTATGTGTATATATCTATATATATTCACACATCCCTTGGAAGAAGTCCTATCAAACACATTTTTCGTATGCAAACTGTCACAGGCTCTACATACACAATAGCTCCCCAGAGGAGCAAATTGTTTCAACTGAATTCTATTCATCCTTTTTTTAACCACTCCTAATTATTGAGGTCATGTATATTTTCATATTTTGATCAACCAGCCCTCAATTGTAGATATTACACACAAGGTAGAATCAGATAGAGGTGTTGGGGAAACACATATATGAAAGGTGCGAACATTATCATCTTCACAATGGTCATTTTAAAGGAAGTAGTGCAAAATTAAAGGCCATTCTAGCAATTATAAGCAGATTTATACTTTTATGGTGATGAAAAATCTTAGTCTAATTGAAAAAACAGAATGTGTAATAAATGTTTAAGAAGTCTTTTAGAGGGAATAGAAATTCAAAAACTGCAGGCATTAAAAGTTGCCCAAATAGTAGTCACTAAACAAACAAAAGCTGAATGGTACTAAAGACATCCCCAACATATACAAGCTAATTACCATACACAGTGAAGGAAAAAGCCTTTATTCAAGCCACAGGACACATTGAATTCTTAATCAATTTGTGTTCAGCTATTTATAGCTCAGTGAGTCAGAGCACTGATTCCTCAATGTGCCTTGGAAGAAAAGAACCAGCCTTTGTTGTCTTGGGTATGCTACATGGTCCCAGAGCACCACCAGAAGAAAGGAAATGATAAACCACTTCTGAATGTTTTGTACCTGGGATAAGCCACCATAAGTCAGAATGAACATGACTGCACAAATTTTATTACTATTTCTCATTAGAATCTTACTTTATAGTTCTATTCTTCAACAATAACTGAGATCAGATTATTCCCAATAAAACTTGTTGTTTTTTAAGCTGCTTCAAGAGTCTTCTGTTATTATTGCTGCAACACAGGAAGCTAACCCTATAGCTACTCTGAGCAAATTATTTGTAAGTCATTATCTGATGGAGCATTTGCTTAGGAGGTTGATGTTATGGATGGAAAATACTCTTCAGCAGGTGTTTTAGATTGCTACATAGTCCACAGCGGATATCCAGTTTAAAGCGGGATATGATTATCCATATTCTTATATTGGATGCAGTTACTCTAAATAATTATTTATTTATTTAACCTCATAGACATACACCACCCAATTAGTGCTGGGAACTAATCCAGGCAGTTTACTTTTTTAAAAAAAATTATAATATTGTAACAGATAACAAATCATCAAATAAAAACATAATAATTTAAAAAATTAGAAGTAACAATATGTCTATGTGAAAACTAAGTAGTAGACCTAAACAATGCCAAGGGAGTGGCAAAGGTTTAAACAAATATTTAACCAAGGATGCCCCTAAAGATGTCTTCAAGTAGCCTAGTTTTTAGCTTCCTCTTAAAGGCAGGGAAGGAGGGGCTCAAGCACAGCTCCAGTGGGAGCCCATTCCAAAGGTCAGATGCCACAACTGAGAAGACCCAATTTCTTGTGCATGTCTTCCTGGCCTCTCTCAGAATGGCATCCTGTAGCAGCACAGCCTGCATGGCTGATGTTCCTCGGGAAAGGTGCTCGGACAAGTAGCAAGGTCCCAAACCATGAAGGGCTTTGTAGGTAAGAACCAAAACCTTGAACTTGGCCCAGAACAGCTCAGGCAACCAGTGTAGGAAAGTCAGGACAGGGAAGATGTGATCGAATGTATTGACACTCGCCACCAGCCTGGTAGCTACATTCTGCGCCCCCTGCAGCTTCAGGTCAGCCTCAAGGGAAACCCCAGGTAGAGCACGTTATAGTAAACAGATGCTCCATCGTATCCAAACAAGACATTAAGATTTTTCAGCCAATAAGTTCTTCCTGAACTTTTTCTCAATTTATTTTACCTTAAACAACTAGCTGTAATAATCTGTACTTGTTTTTCCTTATGTGAACAACCTATCCTAGCTTTCCACATTTTCTGTAATTTATGATTTCATTCTCATTTTCATTCACCAGAATACTTTTTAATTAGTATTTTATGATCCAATAAATTATTAGGTAAGTTCACATATTTCAATTATGTTTATGTTTCTTAATCGTAATCTATGCTGAAAGTCTGAAATTCTATGCCAGTGGTTCTTAACCTTTGTTACTCGGATGTTTTTGAACTGCAACTCCCAGAAACCCCAGCCAGCACAGTTGGTTAAGTTCACATATATTTCAATTATATTTATGTTTCTTAATCGTAGTTTATGCTGAAAGTCTGAAATTCTATGCCATAGAGTAGAACTGAGAATATATAACACTGTACAATATGCATTCTGAATGCCAATTTTGTGTGTCTGGGGTTTTTTTTTTAATTACACTACAGTATTCCTCTGAAGAAAACCAATCTTTGATATCTCTGTTCTGACTTACACTGCAGGCCTATGATCCTTTTGTTAATTCAGCCTAATTCCAAAGTACATACAGTATATTTCTCAATACTGTACACTCCACACTTTCATTTTGGATCTTTAAGTACATTTTTTCAGCTGTGTGCTCACGACCTGGGGTTCAATCCCAGGTAGCCGGCTCAAGGTTGACTCAGCCTTCTATCCTTCCAAGGTTGGT